CCCCTCCCCCTCCATCCCGGGCTAGCTGCTGCTCTCTCTGCAGCCGGCGTTTGCTCATCTCCTTATAATCAGCCTCCCGTTTACATCTTAAAAGCTGCAGCTCAGGAGAGAAAGGCACAGCTGGATAATAATGGCGTTTTTATCTAGCACTGCCGAGCAGAGGGTGTGTGGGTGTGAAAAGTTACAGCAGAGAATCGGGGACACAGAAATGGGATTTTGAAGTGCGTTTGCTGTGACAGGCGTGTTATCTGCGGAGCTGTGAGTGATTGGCCTTGTTAGGGAAGAAGACAGGCTTTAATAATGGAGACGAAACACAAACACTTGGGACTAATGAACCCTGGTTCACTGCTGGGTTGTGGATGAGTATAGCTACCTGGTTAAGTTAAGCTCAGGAGGTTAACAGACTGGGTCAATAGAGAGAAGCCCCACAGAGAGGGACAGCGAGGACAGTAGTTCATAATCTGCTGGGAGTGAGAAAATACAGATCCAAAGAAAAAACACATAATCCACGTGCTGCTTTGAGGACTCAGAGCAACGAGTGCAGTCCAGAAACACATAAATTTCATGATTCATGACTCGCTTTGAAGTGGATCAGTAGCGAAAAGCACAGAAAGTAATATATATGCCTGGAACATTGTGTGTGCAATTTGTAATCGCAGCAGCGTGCCATCCATTTAATCCTTGTTTTTCATGGCATTTTAAGGATTATTCCATACCCAAAAAGCTGTGAGTTGGAATCTTTCACTTCATGTTTTTGGGGTTGTTTTTCCACTTTCCTCCAACAACTTAGCATTGAGCTGTTGGTAGCTTTTATTCCATTTGCTCATTCTGCCATTACTCTCACGTAAAACAAGCCTGACAATCAAGTTAATCTGCAACTTAATTTTACTTAATTCATTCAGCCTGACACTACATCCATGTCAATCAGTTTATTCCTGGAAGGGGGTGTTTTCTTTTGCCTCAACTAATCACAAGTGAATGACTTTTGACCTGCCAACATAATGTTCAGTCAACAAAGAAGTCATGGGAGTGCTCGCCTGGAGCAGAAAGACACTTTTTAATGTTATTTGTGTTTATTAACAGTAGCGAACTAACATCCATCAAGTTCATCCATGCTTGTCCACACAGCAAGTGGTTCTTATATAGTGCTTTTCTACTCTACCTGACCACACCAAGCACTTTTTACATCTTGCTGCATTCTTTACCTATCTAACATTCACACACATTCATAGAAGCTAGAGTAGAACTGGAGGTTAGCATATTGTGACTGTGCAGACAGATGGAATAGCAAATCCATCAGATTCTTGGGTCTTAATGATAGAGCTGTGACACTAAAAAGTCTGCTAGCAGTCAGCATTTTTGCTAGCTCTACTTCTTATCCTTGTAGTAGCTCTATCCATTCTTACTGTTCAAAGCACTTAAAGTGCCCACACATTCATTCAGCACTTTTTATACTAAACTAGTGTGTAGTACTTTTCCTGTTACACTCATACCACTGAAATATGCTTAGTGTTAGCAGCTAAGCATATTTCCACCCCCTTCGTGTCTTAATCTTCATTTCTTGCTTCATTGCTAAATGCTTAGCTGAATACGCTAATGCTAATTGCGATGCTAATATCTTAGCTTAAAAACACATTGCCACAGGCACAAAACATCAAAACAGATTGAGTTTATTTTACAATGTATTTTCCCCATCAACATTCAATTGAGAGAAAAACAAACACATCATTATTTCTTATGACTCCTAGGTGGGACACTGGCCAGGGGTCTTGTAACTGGCCATAGGAGACAAAAATCAGGTGGCGCTAGTCAAATAATTTAGGCCTGCACTTTGTTTAGGCATTCCACTGCCAGGACCCTGGTAGTCGGCATGCTCGATCGCTGATATGACTTAGCTGTACACCTGTGCTTTTCCTGACATGACAAGTCAAACAGTGGGCCATGGGCAGACTCAGCACTCGCAGCTGTGGAGTCAGCTGTGTGGTAGCAGCAGCACCATGTTAAAAAACCAAACAAATGAAACAATAAGAATCTCACTTTTGCTTTTAACTCAAAAAGCACAGAAAAAAAGATTAAATACAGAGGCCATCCTTGGAAATGTATGAGACCAGTGCAACATAACAAAATTAATGTACACGTTTTTATACATATTTATATTTCACATTAATGATCGCTTTATGCACAGTGCTAAAGAGTAAGCTAGAAACTGCAGCAAGGCTTCACAATCTGGCCAGTAATTAGTCCAGAAAAAAACAAAATGCCAGTATTGTAAATAAACACGTTAATGTAAACATGTCACCAACACAGAGAAACATACACCTGTACAGTTATCAGGCTGACTTTGGAGACTTATATTCGAATGATAGCCCTTGGATCCTTTTTTTTATTATAGGGCTGTTACTGTTTCTAAAAAAAAGTGCACCAGCTTTACAAAACAGAGCAAACAGTGATAGTGGGAGTGTGAAGGAAGCAGTCGGTAATAATTTAGCTATCACTACGACATAAACAATCAGAGAGAAGGGTGAGTAGTAGCAGAGCATTTTAAGGAACAGTGCATGTTTAAATAAGTGATTCATTGCATCATTCAGGGGGAAGGAGCTCACTAAAACTGACCAGATAAAGTCCAGCCCTGGCAGGAGGTCATGCTCTGCCACGAAGGAAAATGACAGCAGCTGATTTCGTCTTCTTCCAGTTTGTACCTGCTGGGCTGTGACTCAGTACAGACTGAGCGGGAGCATTTATTTATTTATTTTTTTAAAAGGCCCGTTGTGTGCTAGGTCCTTTATATGTCTAAAAATGAGTCTCTCCATCACTTTGTTACATTACATAAGAAGTGAGTGTGAGAACAGAGGTGAGGCAACAGGACGCAAAAGTTGAAATAACCATTGTGGCAGCGGACCAGTGGGCAACTTTCTTATTTACACAATGGCGTCTAATGTGCTTTAATAGGTTTGTTAAGAACACAGGTTGAACAGGTTCTTATTCAGACAGATAAAGAGAAATGTAGCATTTTCTGTTGTTCATGTGTCCTCTGCTGAGCCACTAAACTTTATATCAGGAACAAGAATTCCAAAAAAGGTTTGTCACATTCCACACATTTTGTACTGAATCCTAGAGGGAAGAGGTGATGGGAATGCATGGGTCAGTGGGGATAGACCGGGAACAGACTGAGCATCAAGGAGAGGATTGGAACTAGGTAGCTCCTCCACAGTGGAGCCGCGAGTGAGGAGACGCCTCCCATCCCAGCTGTAGCCAAACGAGGGGTTAACAGCTGCTCCTGGAAGGTGAAGTCATCCATTGCCAGGTTATCAGAAAGGTCTAAGGAGGGAGACAGACGGAGTCAGAGACGGAGGAGATGGACAGAAGATAATGAAGGAAGGTGAAAGAATGAAAAATATGAGAGAAGCAGGAAAAAGAAGACGCAATTAGAAATAAAGGCTGCCACAAAAGCTGAAAAACACATGTCTGTCATCTTTCTGCATGATATCTGACACAGCTGTAAAAACAATGTTACATTGGGAGAAACCCAAGCTGCTCATATAACCAGATGTTGCATGTTATTGTTGTAAACACGTGCTGAATCATACAGACATAAATTTTGCTGATAGCAAGTGCTGAAATGTGGTGAGATGCTGAAAAACAAAAAATTAAAGTGAAAAACCACAAAAGCCGCCTAAGGTCATGTCGAAAACTTAATGTGAATCATCTGTCACAATTTAACTGACATTTTAGTTAAAACAAGACTACGGCAACAACCCTTCATATTGTTGTTCTTCATATATACTGGTATTTTCCCTCACAACCATCTCTAGGGTTTACTGTAAACAGTAAAAAGGAGATAACACCCAGTGAGCAGCAGCTCTCTGGGTGTTCTGGGTGTCAGAGGAGAATGAGCAGACTTCTTCAGGCTGATAGGAAGTCAACAGTAACTCAAATATCCACTTGTTACAACCAAGGTATGCAGAAGGGCATCTCTGAACACAGAACACATCACAACACTTCAAGCAGAAGACCACACTGGTCTCACTTTCCTGTCATTTCCTGACAGGAAAACGAGGCTACAATTTACACAGATTCACAAAAACCAAACGATGAAAGGTTGGAAAAATATTGTCGGTCTGATGAATCTCGATTAATGCTGTGATATTTGGATGGTAGGGTCAGAATTTGGTGTAAAGGACATGAACACATGGATCCATCCTGCCGTGTATCAACTGTTTATGTCAGTATCAGTACTCAGTTAGGTTCAGTATTTTCTGTTGGATTCTTCCAGCAGGATAATGCACATCATAAAAATCAAGTAATCTCAAACCGGTCTGTTGAACATGACAGTTAGCTCACTGTATCCAAATGGCCTTCACAGTCACTAGATCTCAGTCCAATAGAGCATCTTTTGGATGTGGTGGAATGGGAGATTTGCATCATGGATGTGCAGCTTAAAAAATTCTGCAGCAATTGTGTGAGGCTACCATGTCAAGATGGACCAAAATATCTGCGGCATAGAGTTTGAGTTGCTAATTCAGCTGTTTCTGCTGCTTCACGCTTGGCAGCAAACTGTACAAGTGCAAGGTTGAGATTATCCACTAATGAAGCCAACAGAACCACATCTGCAAAATGCAGAGACGAAATCCTGCAGCCACCAAAGTGGAGACCTTCCGTCTCAGGACTTGAGAAATCGTCAGTATATTACGTCTCGGGAGTGAAAACGGGCTGGTCATCCGTCTGTGCTTTCTCTATGGGAGGCGTGCCAATGGGATGGACACAATCCTCAGATCGTTCCTTCTGCTGACCAACTATCCCCAGTTGAAGTCAGCACCAGTGTTGCTAATTCTAGCCAAAAGAATAAAAACATACTTTTCATCAAATAAATCTACAGTGATGTTTTTTTCTCCCCTTTCTTCCAAAGGTAATTACTTATTATCTTCAAGGAAGTTGCATATTTCTACTTACTACATGTAAAAATGAC